GTATGTGTGTTTTTGATTCTTTCATTTATTCGGTTTTTCACTTACTCTTTTGTTATTTGTTCTGTTGCCCATCTATTCATTCATTCATTCATTCATTCATTCATTCATTCATTCATTCATTCATTCATTCATTCATTCATTCATTCATTCATTCATTCATTTATCTTGTGGTAAATGATTTCACCTCATTTGACGTCCTTCACCTACAACAGGAAACCAAAAATCAAATGTTTAATAAAAAAATGGGAGTAGCCTACAATATTGCAAAGGTTTAGATTCCGATGTAGTCTCAAGTGTTATTTTACTCAATATTTTATCAGCTTTACCTATCGTTTCGTAACGTAGTTTCCAAAGACAGCAATACATTATGAGTTGTAGCAATAGTAGCAGTCCCGGTAGTACTTCAATACAGAGTTGTGGACGTAGTAGAAGAGACGAACGATAACTCCCACCCACCTGCTCTTATTTCCTTTCGTGTTCGTCTTCGGTAAGAGACAGGGACAGTGTGGGAGACATTTTTCTAATTAGGTGTCGGTTTTCGTAAGAGTTTTACGGCACTTGCAACACAATAAGGTCATATAAGTGCCGAAGATTAGAGGTGTCACAAGAGAGTAACAAACACAAAAAAGAAGGAGGGGAGATAAAGACAATAGATGTTTGATAGGAAAGAAGAAGCAAACCCCACCAGAGCACCCACCAACCACAAACGAAAACCTTTTGACACAGGTGTTGCCCAAGTATAATTTATGCAACAATTACTGAACAGATAGAACTCTGGAATTCTGAGGTATCCATACGCTGGTCATGATCCCAAGTACTTACTGCTTGCTGTCATTTAAATGTTTATAGCGCAACGCATCCTCTCTGCATTCAGCCAAAGTTCAGTGCTACTTTTTTGGTTTTAGTAAGAGTTTTACGGTACTTGCAACACAATAAGGTAATATACGTGCCGAAGATTAGAAGTGTGACAAGAGAGTAACAAACATAAAACAGAAGGAGGAGAGATCAGCACGATAGACGTTTGATAGCAAAGAAGGAGCAAACCACACCAGAGCACCCGCGCACACACACACACACACACACACACACACACACACACACACACACACACACACACACACACACACACACACACACACACACATACAAACACACACATACTAACTCAAATACGTCACTTTCAAAGTCACATTTTATTATTCTACGTCTATTCATCTTGCCAATGGTGTCAAAGTTCAAACAGGACAATAATAATAATATTATTATCAGTACATTCAAAGGGAAAAAAACGGCCCCTTTCCAAACATATCATAGCATCGTTGCAGAATCATAAACGCCTTCACGGTAAGCACAAAGGGGGGGGGAGGGGGCTATGATCCCGAAAAAGGCTCTTTGTGAGAAAATTGAAGGTACATTTTTTGTACCCTTCTCAGTTTCTTTAAAAGACAAGGTGAGTTTTCTCTATAACCAATCAATATATGCCCCTCAATGAAACCAAAGTAATGTTGGCCCACATATACATGTACATCCAGGCAAGTCAAAAATAGTGAAGCTAGGAAAAGTTTCAAGCCCTGCTGTGACAGTGGAAGACACTCCCCTGGAAGAAGTGGACTCCTTTACCTACCATGGAAGTGTCATCGATGGTAAATGTGGAACCGAGGCAGATGTTAAAGCAAGAACCGCCAAGACAAGGTCAGCATTCAATCATTTATCAAAAGTTGGGAAAATAAGCATCATCTCACTGCACACCAATATACGACTCTTTAACTCCAACGCAAATGTCAGTGCTCCTCTACGGCGGCAAGACTTGGAAGATGGCAAAGACAAGGCTTAATAAAGTCGAGACTTTCATCAACAGATGATTGACGAGTATTCTAAGAATTAAGTGACAGGATAGACAAAAAAATAAAGAGCTGTGGGAAGGGGCAGGACAACAGGATACAGAAGTCAGTCACTTCAGTGGAACCCACAGGGAGCACGAGGCAGGGGTAGGTCACGGGAAACATGGAGGAAATGTGTGGAAAGGGACATGAGAGAGATAAAGCTCACTTTGAACGAGTTAGGAAGGATGGCCCAGGACAGAGATAAATGGAAGGAGCTTGTATGACGCCTATAGTCTGCCAGGGGTGAAAGGCTTTGATGATGATGACAACAGAGTGTATCAGAATCAGATATCAGAGTTACTTTCTTTCTCCATTCCTTAATTGTAGAAAATGTTTCGTCTGAGCTGCTCATCGTTCTCACCGG